GTTTGGCGGGTCCGGGCTGGGGATTCGAACCCGCCACCTTAGGTGTACGTGGCTGGCGCCTTAGCCGGTTGAGCTATAGGCGCCGAGCCGTAACCATATATTTTTAAGGAAATTTTTATTCTTCCTACATTTGCCAGTTTTTCATTGTAAAAACTAAAATATAAAAGTAAAATGGAAGGTAAAGATAAATGAGCGGTATTATTATTTTCAAAACTAGTGGACATGGCGTGGCTAAAATAAATTATATATTCCAACTCAACACAGCTTTAACATTGTTTCTCTCAAATCTAGAAAACAGTAGTGAGGTCTGTCCATTCAGCCTCCTGAAACATCTTTAAACATCACAAACCTATTATATAGAGTTTGTGCCTTGGTCTCTGGAACAAGAGCTACACATGAATGGAGCTCAGCTATGGAAATACAATAGTTGGCTGGCAAGTATGCAGGGACCTAATTTGAAAAAGTAAACCAGGGAGGCACCTGTGGCTCAAGGAGTAGGGTGCCCGGCCCCATAGACTGGGGGTGGCAGGTTCAAGCCTAGCCCCAGGCAAAACTGCAAAAAATAAATAAATAAATAAATAAACCAGAGAAATTAAGGTATAACATTATTACCAGGCAGAAATTACACTGTGCTGGTACATCAAAAGGATCTTCAGAAAAAGATTATTATAGCAGAACAGCTATAATAATCCCTCATTGAGGGGAAATAAAATAATAATAATTAATAATATACTAATAATAAAATAATAACAATCCCCCGATTGTGGGGGGAAAAAATAAGAGAGAAAAAATAATCGAGATGAAAACTGAGGTCAGATTGCCAGTTTGAAGGATAAGGAAGGCAAAAACTGAATCGTGTTTGTTTTCCAGCCAGTACCCTTTCTTTTTCATCCTCACTCCTGGACCCTGCATTGCTCAAGTATCAACTCTATTCTATATAGATATGTGGACAAAGAAGCTGACCCCATGCCCAGCTTCAGATTTTACTGACTGACTGATCTGAGCCAATTACTGTAATACCATTTCTCCTACCAGTGGTGGGTTTAGGAATAGGCATGTAACCCAGTTCTGTGCGATGAGATCTCTGAGGTAATATGCGCAGAGACTTTAGGAAAGACCACGTCTTTTCTAAGATAAGAGGTAAAGGAAAAGAAGGTATGCTAACTTCTAGAATCACCACACTGGGAAATTTTTAATTGACTTCGTGTATTTAGGAATTACATTTCAATTAATACAATGGGTGATTAAATATATCTTTTTAAAGGAAAAAGCAATGTTGGTTTAATGATTTAAAAAGCTATCAGTTGAGAATGTATTTAGAAACAGTAGAAAATCTATTGGGATTTGTTTTTTCTTAATAATCAGGAATTATTTGTCTCAGATATCAAGACTATTGGAGACAGCTACTTAGTAATTTCAAAAACCCAGACTCCATTTTTCTGCTTCTCCATCCTTTGTCGTCATTCTCCTGTTTGTCACTGCTGGACAGAAGGTGGCTGCTACACTTCCAAGTAGGAGGAAAGGGAAGGGGAAGGGACAAAGGGGCATGCCAGTTGACTCAGCCTGCTTTTGTCAGGAAAACAAAAGCTTTCCCAGAAGCCCTACTCTGAAATCTTCTGCATAGATCTCATTAGCAACCCCTAACTGGAATGCTCCTTGGGCAACAAAGAGGTTATGAGTGGGGTCAAGTTAGCCTAACAACTGTGCCAGCCACATCCTTACCTACCCTACATAAAGGGATTATGCTGGACCAGTGGTTCTCAACCTGTGGGTTGCGACCCATTTGGGGGTTGAACAACCCTTTCACAGGAGTCACCTAAATACATCCTGCACATCAGACATTTACATTACTATTTATAACAGTAGCAAAATTACAGTTACGAAGTAGCAAGGAAAATAATTTTATAGTTGGGGGTCACCACAACATTGAGGAACTGTATTAAAGGGTCACTGCGTTAGGAAGGTTGAGCACCACTGTGCTAGACAATCAGGTAAAGCCACTTGTCTGTTATTCTGGGATGTTGTAGGCTTTGGGCTACTACTTGCAGGGGTCTAGTCTATCTTTAATTTAGCTTCAGCTGTGTTAATTCAGTAACATTTTCGCTTTTTGCTTATGTTTTACAGACTTAAGTTAGTACAGCCAGCCCTCTGTATCCATATGTTCTGAGTCTGTGGATTCAACCAACCACGGACAGAAAACATTTGGGAAAAAATTGATGGTTATGTCTGTACTGAGAATGTACAGATTTTTACCAAAATTCAGACTTCTGATAAACATGTACATTCGTGTTAAATTTATACAAATTATTATTTTTCATTTAAGCCAGGCATTGTGATTTTTTTTAAGTTTTTAGTTTATTTTCATTGTGGTAATTTTTAAGTGAAGCTCATAATTCTTAAAGCTTCTCTCTTAGCAAGAACACAGGAACTATTAAACTGAACTCTATACCAATAATAAAACCACCCTTTTCAGCGTCCCTTCTGAGAAAGGAGATAACACAGTTTATTTAAAGAAAAAAATAAACAGTATAAGTTTAATATCTGATATGGATTAAGGATTTATCTGCATAGACTTAACTGTTCTTAAATTATGTACTGGACTCTATTTCTTTATGCCTCCAGCCCTCAGCTCCATCCTGTTCAGAGATATGTTTATTCTCAATGATTGCAAAAGTCATTGAGGTAAAAATTAAAAGGACAATTTAACGGTGAAAGAAAATGTGCTTTTCTACTAGAGGTGATGCTTTCTGTAGCCAAAGTGAAATCATGCATTAGAAGGAATACAGATAAAGATGCAGAGTGGGACGGAGCACACATGAAAAGAGACAGAGTACAGCTTCCAGTCTTTGCTGATTGACGGAGCTTAGCAGAGATGGAGCCTGATTAACAGTGTACCTCATTTTAGAATTCTGGATCCAGGATAGATGTAGAAAAACAGTTCTGACATTGCTAGCTGAATGCTACTTTAAGTTCATCTCAGTAACTGAGGAAAATAGATAATGAGGTTTTTATGTTTTTTTAACCTACCATATTTTTATTCCATTTGCTAGAGAGGCCACAGATCAAAAGGGAATAAAGTATGTATGCTAAAGGATTTTTTGTGAGAGAGAACTACATAAATTAGCTATTGAAGTGATACTTGCCACTCTCATTTTTATGATCTATAACAAGATCTCTCTTAGCATTTGACTTTTATTTTTCCTAATTTTATTATGCAGGAGGAGAGGAGATTGAGGAACCAGATGCTTTTATTTCTGATTGAACTAGGGAAAAGAGAGCCCGTTAGTCAATACAATAGTTATATTGGCACAGATTCTTTAATACAGTTTTTTAAGTTATTTACAATAACTGAACTGCATGTTGGGACTAATTGGCAACAGTGACCAGATTCTTACTCCTTATCAGGAAACTGCATTCAGAGAATGAGAAGAACGCCCCCACTGGATGAACTGCAGCCACCACCCTATCAAGATGACAGTGGCTCTCCCCATCTTTCCTGTACACCCTCAGAAATTGGGGATGGTAAATGTGAATATTCCCACTGCAGCAACAGTCCAAGATGTTCGTATAACAAGTGCCCAAGTGAAGGAAGCGCAGGTCATGAAATAGGAAGTTTTCATAATAAAGGATATGAAGAAGATGTCCCAAGTGATAGCACTGCAGTCCTGAGCCCTGAAGTAAGTAAAAGCACGTAAATTGAAGTTCAAAAATGAATGTTATTTGGAGGGTGATAATCCTTTGCTTTTCCTTTTGGTAAAAAGAATTGATTTTATCACTGTCTTATTCCTTTGTTGCTTATGGTACGACTGTCCATCCTTAATTTAATGTTTGTCCATGAAAACTTATCAGGTCTGTCCCAACCCATCTTCAACTACCCCCTCCATCTCTGCCACCAAAGGGACATAGATAGCTAAAGATGGTTTTCTGTTTAACATTCTATATAAGACATTTTTAGTTATTTATTCTTTTCATCTTGGGGTTACTGTTTATGGTATATTTATTATTTTATTTTGGATTTTTCACTATTGGGAGGTTAGTCATTAATTTTTCATGAGTATTTCAAAATAATCTTACTGTATTTTCATATCATAGAATATAGAAGGGATAAATAATGGTCACCTTACTAATGAAATTTGAATTCATGTCTTCATGAATTCAGAGTGGCTGGTTGAGGTTTTTTGTTTTGGGGGGGTTTTTTTGGCAGTTTTTGGCCAGGGTTGGGTTTGAACCCACCACCTCCGGCATATGGGGCCAGTGCCCTACTCCTTTGAGCCGCAGGTGCCCTACTCCTTGAGCCACAGGTGTCACCCTGGTTGGTTGAGTTTTAAGGACTTTTGGGGAGCAGAAATGTGAAAATGACAAGAAAAATAATTGTGTTGCAAGTATGATGTATTGCTGTGTTCTAAAAATGTTTTATTCTTTCCATAGTGATGAAATCTATTAAGGTAATCTAGAGGTTTTCATAAGGTAGTGTTTATTTTTAGGATTTACTTTCTTTTCAAGTTTTATTTAGACTGAAGGTTTTTGTAACTTTTTTCCAGACAACATTTAGTAATACTGTACTATGTCCACATTCTTAAAAAGTGAATTTTCTGATCTGCAGCCAAAATTAAGTAACAGAGGTAGTTTTCCAGGATACACAACAGTTAAGCTGTGGATAGAATTTCCTTAATTTGGGTTTTTTTTTTCCTGTATTTTTAGAAACACTTCATGTCTATTATTTCTAGTATTATCTAATCTAGAAGAGAACTCTCCATTGATATTTTAAGTTTAATATCTTAGTATTTTATGATTTTTATGTTTCTTTGTGTTCTATCACCTAAACCAATTTGAGATAGCTGCCTTGTAGCTTTGCAAACTGTATGGATGGCTAACAAATTAACAATGAAACCTGGATTATGAAGTTAATAATAATAGTTACTATTACTAGTTGTGCCAGGAATTTTGTTGTGCGCTTTATACATGGTTAGCTCATTTAATTTTAACAACCATGTCTTCAGGAAGTTATTCATTTCATTTTATGAATGAAAATATTAAGATTCAGAGTGTTAAGCTATTTATTAGCCCAAGTAGAGGCAGTTCTTAAATAGTGGAACTGTAATTCCAGGTCTATTTGACTCAAAAACAGTACTCTTAACAACTATATTGTATTACGCTTCTTGAACTAAATTGCTGTGTGGGAAAATACTTTGGTGAAATGGTACCCTGCAAGTGTATCACCAGGCAAGCTCTCTGAGAGGAATCACAAAGTGCTCAGATTATGCGTGTGTGTATGCTAATGAGTCTGATTTAAACACAAGACAAGAACTAGGAGGAGCGAGATAAGATAAGTTAACACTCCTAGAGACAGGATGCCAGTAGGACGTCTCAGTAGCAAGGCCACACTGTGTGAGTCCTGGTTTATGCAGTTACCCATACATCCTATCTCACTGTCTCTGTTCTGTCAGTATCCCTGTATGATACAGTTTCCCATACATCCTATCTCACTGTCTCTGTTCTGTCAGTATCCCTGTGTATGATACAGTTTCCCATACATCCTGTCTCGTTGTCTCTGTTCTGTCAGTATCCCTGTGTATGATACA